ACGACACACACACACGACACACACACACACACACACACACACACACACACACACACACACACACACACACACACACACACACACACACACACACACACACACACACACACACACACACTTTACACTGCAAAGTCCTTCACAATCTGCTCCATCTGAAAACATATCCAGTCCTTGCAAAATGTTATGAACTTGCGGCATGGTAGACAAACACACACACACACACACACACACACACACACACACACACACACACACACACACACACACACACACACTGTTTTATTGTTCTCACCTATTGGAGCGTCATTCTTCTCGTCTCGTTCAAAATCTGCTTCTTCTGAAATAATAACATAACCAGTCCTCTTGCTCTCGGCCGTGCACGCCTTGAGTTTTAAAACGTGTTGATTTGAATGCTGCTGTACTTTGGGCTCACAAATATATGTTATTCGATTTAATATTCATGTACGTTTCAATTTCTAATAGCAGCAGGAGCAGGGGTGGAGCTGATAAGATTAAGATAATTGAAAATCAATGCAAAACACTTGCTTTGATTCTTTTATAAAGACAGTTTGGTAAAAGTTAGATCAAATGTTTAAGTGTAACTTGTATTAAAGACTATGGCTGTGTCATTTGGAATCAAACTGTGATAGTAATTTGTCTTTCTGTAAGTGTTACTACAAAATAATTGTTATGGATCCAGTTTGTTATGCTTGTTTCATGGCTCACATATTGACTAACACATGCAGTACACAGGGGCACAACAGCACTCTGGATATATTTGCAGTAATCTGGATGAAAAACTCCAGATGGGGCGAGCACCAGTGACACAGCTCCTGACTCTCAGTTGCTCCCAATACTGACGATCAAATAATCTGCACTAAAATAGGGCGGTCATCAGTATGGGGACATTCATTCTGCATGTAGAACACACACAAGATCATTTGAGAGATTTGGATATCTATTAAATCTATTATTTAAGTGTTTATAGACATTATGATATATTTGCAGTGTCTTAGTGTTCCAACTCACTTGTCTATTACATAACAGGGCTCCTACTCCCCGGCCTATAACGCCCCTGACAAATCCATGCACGCTTTGCTGCACATGAGCTATTTATATAGCACCCAAGACAGAGCTGGTCAAAAATACCACTCCAGTCAATTATTCATTGAGAAACATTCCAAAACAGAGCGGGGAGTGGGTTCGGCTGCACAGGAATACACCAAGGGGCTAACAATAAATAGCGTCCATTAGCAATGCAGCAGCGCGCTTGTCCTCAGCGGTAACCAATCTGTGGGAAAAGGGCGGGAAACGTGGAGCTGAACATTTGCCCTCTCATGTGTTGTGCTTGTATTTATAGGAGTGTGTGCATACACTTCAGCGCCTCTGCAACCATCTTGTTCCCTTACAGGTTTCTAAAAATAGCAGGCTCAGCTGCACCGTGCTTGTGCCATTTTTAGCTGTCGCAATTTAAGGGAAAAAATAAATAAAAGGCAGTAGGGAAAAAAGTGCTGTTTCACAAGGAAACTATGTGGGGGCATCTCTTCGTGGACACTCTGTTCCAGCTTTGTCCTGAGATGCACCAAGCTGCATCGGCACCATCATGTTCAATTGAACGGCTTTGAACTGCAAGGTTTTCATTTCATTCTAATGCATTGTTATGCTCTTTATACAACAGGGTTATTGCTGCCGAACTACAAAGCTTCTTATGTTTTGAAATTAATTTGATTCTGACTACAACTAGCAAACAAGCAAGTAGTTTAAGTCTGGATGTTTTAAAAAAAGAAAATATATTGTCCTTTGTCAGAACATAAACGGCATTATTGCTGCTTTTTAAAATCTGCACACAAATAAACTTGTTGGCCTTTTTTTAAACATATAAACATAACATCTATTTTAAGCCTACAAATAGTTCACAACACCTCAGGAGTCCCAGGTGTAGAGGACTTTCAGCTAGGGTTGATTCTTCATGAACCTGCTGCCATCACACTTGTTGGTTTGCTTTAATAACATGTCCCTCCTCACTGCAGTGCAACCTAAAGTCTTAAATGTGTTACTGTTAATATCATTATTTCAACATTGCCGTTGTCTATCAATACACCATGCATGGTGTGGATCCAAAGCTTGTATCAACTGGCTGAGGGTTGATGTATTTACACTAACTAGGAAGTTGGTCCCTGGTGTAGAGTAGAAAGTAGAACATGTATTTACAGAAATAAAATCCAATGGAATTATTAAGATTTAAGTGTGATTATCAAAAGCATTTACAAGGCTGTGTATTATTTGCTGGACTAGAGATGATGTTTTTTATTGATCTAAAAAGATCAGTTGTCTGAAGAAAGCAAATGTGAAACAGAAATTAACATATTTTAGATTTCAATGCATTCCTCATCAGTGGTATTCAACATAAACTGAATTGAATTGCAGTGTGACCAAATGTTCTGTATTTTTCAGTCAGATTATAATAGCCTACTACACTGAACAAAAATATAAATGCAACACTTTTGTTTTTGCTCCCATTTTTCATGAGATGAGCTCAAAGATCTAAATCATGTTCTATATCCACAAAATAACAATTTCTCTCAAATATTGTTCACAAATCTGAAAAAATCTGTGATGGTGAGCACTTCTCCTTTGCCGAGATAATCCATCCCACCTCACAGGTGTGGCATATCAAGATGCTGATTAGACAGCATGATTATTGCACAGGTGTGCCTTAGGCTGGCCACAATAAAAGGCCACTCTGAAATATGCATTTCACTAACCCTCACACCAGATACTGACTGGTTTTGGGACCCCCCCCAATAAAGCAAAAATGCACGTTTCAGAGTGGCCTTTTATT